TTTACTATCGATTTTCGATTATCAAATCCGATAAAATATTTTTTTTTTTGTTTTTTAATTAATTGCAATTTTGTACAGATATATTAAAAATAAAAAATGAAGGTAAGCTCTTAAAAAATTAATTTGCAAAAATTAAAATGCAATTGCGATTAATATTTTGAATTATGGCTATAACGTGGCAGTTACACCTTATAGGATATTGATTTCTCAATTTATATTATTAAATCTACATAATTATTAAAATCTCTTGCATAATCTTGCATTAATAACATTGCATTAAAAAAACCAATTAATGAAAAAGATTAAGATTTTTTTTAATATTGTTTTGCAATCAAGAATGTACTTTTATTATATTGAGACTCTTGGGTTACAATCGGACGATTCTGAAACTTTTGAAATTTTCGACAAAACTCAATTTTACCTTTTTATACTCCTTTATATTTCAAATTAATGTTGCTCATGCTGAAACCAGCGAGCTCTAAATTTTGGATAACATTATTTTAAAACGCATTTCGGTGTACATATAAAATATTTCATTCTGTTCGAAAAAATTTTCATTCTAAGTCCAAATTCTCAATCCGAGTAAAAAAAAAAAAAACTATGGCGAATCTTACAAGATATTTTTTCATTCAAATAATTCCAATTTCTCAAAAAAAAATTTGTTTCACATCTTATAGTACATTCCATATTGTACCCATGAAAATGATCTTCTGAAACCAGTACTGAACTCATTTTAGACTCAATTAAATATTAATCATTTGATTTAATTACATGTGCAACAAAAAACATGCAGATGGAAAATAAATTCGAAAAATATACAAAATTCCAAATTAACTTTTATATAGATATAAAATATTCACATAATTATTACATACACACATATGCATGACCAAAAGCAAATATTGACATTTTAATTAATTCAATACTCATATATGTACATAATATTTCTCACATAATTTTCGAAAATAATTTTATGTTCTACAATACATAAAAATTTTTAAAATTCAAAAAACAAGCCTGCAACAATATACCGTACGTAAATTTTGAGAACCGCATAGAGAAACGAGAGCAAAACCACAACAACAAAATATAAATAGAAAACCTTAAGCAATCAATCGTATTTTTTAAATATTCACAATTCATTTTTTTTTTGTGTAAATTTTGAATGATTTATAGTTTTCTCTCTTTATATTTAAATCAAAATAAAGCGCCTCCAGATTTACATTTCTGAAAAAAGAAAAATGCATTTTTAAAAAATAAATAAAATTTATATATATTTTTTCTTTACATATTTGTGTTCAGTCTCACCCCATGGGTTAGTTAAATTTAAGCTCTAATTTAAGATTATAAAGGAAAATCATGTTCGAATTTATTATAATTAGATTTATATTTTTATTATAAATTAAATAACCATTTAATTTTTATTATTTTCATTTTAAGAATATTTTCTAAACAAATAATCAAATCCAATGCTCATAAAATATTTCCAACAATAATAATAATATGAAAAAAAAAAAATTTAAATTCTCAATTTTCTCTCATATATTTAAAAAATTGAGAAGAAAACAACAATAATATTTTAGTTCACAATATAATTTTATAATGCAGAGTACAGACAATTAAAATATAATATTCACAATATAACAATAATAATGAACAATAGAAAGAGAAATATTGAAAGAATGTCTTTTTTTCTTTTCTTTTTTCAACTTGAAAAACTGGTTATAAATAAAAATTCATATACCTTATCATACTTATTCAGAAAAAGAAAGTCTATATGTAGCAGGTAATAAAAATTTATACCTACTTATATGAACAAATATATATAGATGATTACATACAAACAAAATGTTATATTTAATATATTTTTTTTTTATTGTTATTATTGAGAGAATTATTGTGTAGCATATGGCGCCCGATGTCGATTAAGATTTAATACAATATTAAGAATATTTTTCATTGCATCAATAATACAACCATGTCTTTTCATAATAAGTTGGAAAGACAGGCGTGTGGTATATATAGGGAAGAAGAATATTAGGGCTTTTTACAAGAAAATATTTTGAAAAACGCAAAAAGAAATTGAAGAGGTTTTTAAAATATTTTTTTTCAGTGTTCCTGTGTTATATGGAAAATAAAAACTCTTAAGGTAAATAATGTATACACGCATTTATTGAAGTTTTTCAAATCTTAAAGATTAATAATTTTACTATAGAAGAAGACATTGTAAAACAGCCACTATAAGACAAAAAAAACCATCTTTAAAGACAATTCTTTTGTTAGACCTTTATACATTTATTTTTTATGTTCTTGTAACTTGTACGTGTGTTTTTGTGTTTTGTTTTTTTTTTTCTGTTTCTTTCGTAATGTTTTCAATGCGCGATGATGATCATTGCGACGGCGTGAAGGTGTTCACTCTTAATTTATTATTTCGATTTTCTCCAAATTTTTTTTTTTTTTCGTTTAAATTCTTATTTCACCCAATTTTATTATTACACATATAATATCTGTATATTCTTCAATAATATAATAATAAAAAAATAAGAAAGGCAGTTAAACTTTAACCAAAATTTTTATTATTATTTTTTGTTATTTCTTTAACGTTATTGAAATTTAGTTTTCATATTTCACTTTACATACTCATATAATAAAATATATGTATACGAAATTCGTATAAGCATAAAATGTAATATTGACTGGGAGATCTTCAAAAGAATATCGTATATATATGTACGTATGTTTGTTGTTCGCCCCGAAAAAGAATATATTTATTGAAGTTAAGTATATCTTAAATGCCAGTTTTATATGAACTATAGCACATAATCCGTTTATAAATTTTAAGAGGTTTAAGGTTAAATATTCTTTTCAATTTCTTTCACTTTTGCCTTCTTATATATATATATATATATATACTGTATGTATATGCTAATAGTTATTAGTATTAAAGTGTTTAACTTTTCTGAAAATATTACAAAATAAAAATATTTTTTTATTGTATAACAGAATATTGAAATAGATATCGAACTACATTTAATGAAAAAATTATAAGCAAAATTTATGCTTTAGAGACAAAATTTCATTAAAATCCAAATCAGAATCAGACGGAATCAGAATAGATAAATTCGGAAATGAAATTTGATTATTAAAAATTAGAGTAGTTATTTCCATTTGATTTAAGAAAATATTCCAAAAAATTTCACAAATTGCAAAATTCTTTAAGATTTATTTAATATTTTATGTTAAGTAATTTAAAATAACATGTTTTTCTAGACATTTTAAGTAATACCTAGGGTTTAGTAAGGTTTTATTAAACCTTATAGGAATTTTTTAAAAATAGCGATGGAAAAAATAACTAAATTTTAATATTCTTTATCAAACTACATCATATAGCTATTTTAATTTCTCGCATTGAAAACTATTTCACGAAAATTGCCTACTTTTAGGTGCGACGTATGCATTTTTATTAATACGTTTCACGTTTTTCTGCTATAAATAGGCTGTTTAGTGTAACAATATTTGAATTATTTTAAAATTTTAATTATCTGGCTATAGTTGTATTCTCAAACTGACATCAGAACAATATTTTGAATTTTATTTTCAAAATACTCTAAAATTTTTTAAATAATTTCTCAAACCATAAAACTTGTGAAGTAAATTTTATTAAAAAATTGTATATTAAAACAAAAAAATTTAATAAATTTCAAATTAACTTACACTTTCAGTTCCTATTTTACAATATAGTTAAGCGTTATTCTTAAAAAAAACAGAATATTTATTTTAGTTCTCCTTCAACCCGCAATTATTGTTGTTTTTCAAACTGGAATATTACAAATACGTTCAGTATTAACGACCATTATATTCCAATAATAATTTATTTATTTTAAATAAAAAAATTTTATGTTCTTCTTATTTCCTTTACAATTTAAATGTGTTTTCTCATACAATTTGATGAGACCTTATCATACACATATGAGACCTAAAAGAAAACTAGAACTTTAAATGAAAAACAGAAAATCTTACCCAAAAACTCAAAAAAAACCATGGCTGATATACAAACATTTAATACTTTTAACTTAAAATATAAAATTCTTTAAAATATTGTTTAGTTGATCGTGATATACGTGAAATGAGACCAACAAATTAACGAAAAATATTTCAAAGATCATTTACCAATAATGTTTATACATAAATTGTAAATGTACCAACATTTATAAAAAAAAAAATCGCGAAGAATAAAAAAAAAATTGAAAAGAATTTTATTTTTAGTTTTTTTTTCTTATTTTTTGTACTTTTAATGGTTATAAAACTGTACTTTATGTCAGACATGGATACGTTGAATACCGTCGTAAATAATGAAGTAAAATACGAAAAAAAACGAAAACTATACGAGTATAAAAAATAGAAAGAGAAAAAATTTTAATAACGAAATTTTCACAAACGTGAAAAAATATTTAAAATTCTTTCCTAATTGACTTGAATTCCAAGAACAACATCGCATATATAAGAAAGAACCGGCAACTTTTAAACATCATTTAATATAATAAAATACTGTCGGTGTCTTCTTGTTCAAAAATTCATGTACTTACATAATATATTATTGTATAATTTGAGGAGAAAGATTTACAGTGTTCTCATAGGAACACATTTGCTCAACAAAAAAAGTTAAGAATTTTTAATACATCTATTTTTATAGTATGAATAAATTCTGGGACTAAAAATTAATATTAAATTCGAATAAGAATTGTAAATGAGAGCTTTTAAGAGCACTTTAAATTCAGACTACATATTACAATAGTGGTCCGCTACATTGTTTTGTTCTGTATTTAAACCTACACTCTCTGATAGCAAAAACAATGATTTTGGAACACATCCAATTATTTATTTACATTAATTTTATTATGCTAATTAACATAATTCCCTGAAAATTAAAAAAAAAAACATTTAATATTTATAAATAATTTATTTTATTTTTATAATTAATAAAAATTTTCATATTTCAGGTATATTCATTCAAAAGAGAAACCATTTAAATGTACTGAATGTGGTAAGGGATTTTGTCAATCACGTACATTAGCTGTACATAAAATTTTACATATGGAAGAATCACCACATAAATGTCCAGTATGTAATCGTAGTTTTAATCAACGTTCTAATTTAAAAACACATTTACTTACACATACCGATATAAAACCATATCATTGTAATTCATGTGGTAAAGTATTTCGTAGAAATTGTGATCTTCGTCGTCATAGTTTAACACATAATTTAGCTGCTATAACAACTGGTTTAAGTGATCAACAATTATTATCACCGGTCAACAATACAAATTCACCGATATCATCAACTAATTCCCCTGTATCATCATCATCATCATCATCATCAACATTATCTGGTAATAATAATATAAATTCACCTTCAAATACTACAATTAATAATAATAATAAAAATGAAAATAATAATAGCAATAATAGTAATAATAATAAAAATAATAATAATAATAATAATGATAATAGTAATAATAATGATGATAATAATGCTGCTGTAGTTGCATCAACAGCAGCTGCAATTGCTGCTATTGTTAATTCAACTGCAGGTTTTAAAAATTCATTATCTGATAAAAATTCTCATCATTCAACATTAGATCTTGTTACAGCAATCGATTAAAATATTCTGTATAGTTTTAAATATTTTAGCAATTATTTTTAATATAACAAGTCCGCCCATTATGTTTTGTAATTCTATGAAAATTTTCTAAAAAGATCTGGTAAAAAATGACTCAAAATGGTTAAAATTATCAGGTTTTGGCAAAAAATTTTCACAGAATTTAACAGTGATAAAATAGATTATTATTAATTGCATGAACGTTTAACTAAAATTATATTACGAAAATTCATTCTTTAACAAAAAAAATTATTTAAGGCTCTGCTCTTATTATAAATAACTTCTTTAAAATTTAGAATTTATTGAAAGTGTAAAATTATGGCAAGATTGTCTGCTATCAAATCTCCAACGTACAAGTAACTTTTATTACATTTTAAAAATACGATTATTAACTATATAAGTATGACTATATTGAGTAATTAGTAATATAAGAGACGAAATTTTAATAAACAAATAAAAAAATGAGATCATGTGTTCAACTGTTCAATTTCACCTTTAATGATAAGGCAATATCCCGAAAGAAAACAATACCAAGGGGGCAAGAATTTCTTTCAAGTAATGAAAATTGTTTGCTGGGCAGTATTTTAATAACTCAAAGATTCTTCAAAAATACATTCAAATATTTGAAAAAAAGTTGTTCTTAATGATAGAAGTGGACCGTTCTCTCTTGTATTACTATTTACTTTACAAGACAACTTTACAATTATTATGTAATTTGGTTTTTTTTATGTGATTTTAATTGTTTAATATTAATTAAAAATAATAATTATAAATTCTAAAAATATATTTTAATTAACTTAATTTTTAAGAAAGAATTTTTTATAAAATTACTCTTAAATTCTAAAAATTATTTTTATAAATTATAATTAATTAAATTTTTATTATATTATTAAGAAATTATTGTTAAGAAATAATCAGTAAAAAATTATTCAGCCCATTACACGTCCCATATCACATTATTTTTTTCGTTTATTTTACATTAAGCTTTTTTTATAAATAAGAAATAAAAATTACTTTAAAATTTTAAAATCTTATTAAAGAAATTATTGAATTATTTTAGATAATTTGGAAATTTTAGTAATATAAGAATAAGAAATGAATATATAAAAGTCTCTGTTTGTAGTTATAAGATTTGTAATAAAAATAAAATAAATATTCTAGCGATTATTATAAAAAATTGATTTTTCATTAATTTGTTCTTTTCCTCGTTTTAGTTTTTAATAATAAATTTCTCTAATAAATTTAGACAGGGAGTAAAATTTTCACAACCAAATTCATATTTCGTGAAGAACAACACTCATGTCGTTTCTGGAAAAAATTACATTCTAAAACAATCAATATTATTTTCATTCTAAAATTGTTACAAAAATCATAGTCTGCTTTGTTAGTTGAAGTAATATGTTTAAGCAACTTTGGATGACACAATCGTTCTGGCTGCTTCCCAATGAACTGTAAGGCAGAAATCTAATCATTTGTGAACTGCTCTTCATTAATTTTTTTTTTGTTTTTTTTTCCTTTGTTGACTCCTAGAAGGAGCATAGAGCTAGTACATGCCATCAAAGATAGTTGTGCCCCAGTTTCATTGTGTCTCTAGATATTTTAACTAGGTATGTGACTAGCCAGTTGCAGTTTTTTCCTCTTTTTAAATTAAATATTTAAGATTATTTGTATTTACTGTTTATTTTTCTTAGTTTAATATCGAGTACCATGGATATATGAAAATTGCATGCTAATTTTCTTTTTTTTAGTTTTTTATAAGTATTTAGATATATTAATATTGAATATAGTTTTACAGTGACCTGACTGGGGTTTGAAACTGAGATCCTAAGGTTAAAGGATCGGTGCCATAACCACTACACCAATGATCAGATGCAGTTCATCCATAATCATTCAATATATGCCATTAATTCATTCAATATTTAATCATTTATATTCAATATGCAATACTTACTGGCATTCACTGCAATGCTCAATTAGCTTTTTATTCGTACATATTAAATGTAAACACTCGTACAGCTATTAATAATGACTTAAAATTAACATGAGTTACTTTTAACCTTAAAAAAATTTTGTATTGAAATTGTTTAGTTGATATTATTGAATTTGCCAAAAGAGTACACTATTTTTAATAGTTTAACTTAAAGACTACTACCAGAAATATTCCAAAAATATTATTGTTTTTACACGGGAACGATCATAAGGGTTCACTAACATTTCTTTTGATAATGATATTTCAAATTTAAAAAAAAAAATCATAGACATAAAATTAATTTAATTATTTGAATATAGTATGCGGCTATGTCTTTAGTCAATATCACCCCTATATACTGATACTTTGAACGCAAGTATAAGCAGATTTAAATTCTCAAACAAATCATCTGGTGCCTAACAAATTATATCTCATAATAATAACTTATCATTCCCCTAATTACAAATTGATTTTCATTTTCTAAATAAAAATTCAATATAATATGTAAGTACTCAAACAAAGATGCTGCGGATCATAAATAAATAGTATAGATCATTTGAAAAGAAAAAGGTTAATTTCTTTGACTGGTCTGTATTAAAAATTTAAATTGCAAATTCAATTAAGAGTTTACACCTACCAGAATTGAATTTTTTTATGAAAATTATAAATGTGTACATTAATTATTTTATCTATACTATACGCGTACGAATATCTTGAATACAACTTGAAACAAAGATGCGTAATTAAGTTTCATATAGAAGAGTATAGCAATTAAGAGACGCGATATAACTATAGAAGTTCACATTAAAATGAGTAGCAATTAATTTTCATTAGGAGTATAGAGAAAGAATACAATATATGATTGGAATAGGTTAAATGATTGATCATTGGTGAAAAAAAAATTAAAGGTCTTTGATGGTACTTGTGACAAATGTGGAAAATAAACAAATTTGGATTGTAATTTTAAAATTCTTTTACCTAAATTAAATTAAAGTAACTTACATTAGTAGATTGCTTCCTAATCCTTATTGACTAATTTAAAGTTTCTTCATTTGTTTGAATTAAAATTGAGTCGGTTTTAACTTTTCAGCGAATATACTGGTTAGATTATATTTAGAAACTTACTGGACATTGGCTAGATGAAAATGTCGAATAACTCACTGGACATTCGGATCATTGAATTTTGTATAACGGAACATTATAGTAATAAAAAAAGTCTCGTTTCATGTTATTTTATTTCCGCGAAATGGCAGGAAAAATTTCTTTTTGAAATGGCTTTAATTTTTTAGTTCAATGTAAAATTACTTCAGAGGTTTATGGTACCAAAATATTATAGTGTTTCACTTATAATGAACTCCGGAACTGTTTGACATAGAAGACGAATAGTTTATTTATTGATAAGTTCGTCCGAAATGATATTATGCACTTTACTATGATATATTATGGGATATAATGTTTCTGTAAATATTCTGATACAAGGCATGTTCTACGAAATTTATGATAAACAGAAAAACTATACAAAAATGTTAAACAGACACTTTCAACTCTTCTCTATAACGTATTGTTCATATCTCTCTTTTCTTTTTCACACTACTTTATAAGTAATTGCCCGAAAACAAAAAATTTCATATAACAGTTTCATTAGGGAATCATAAACATTTTAAAAATCATAGTTAAATATTTGAAATTCTGACGAAGTTTGTATAACAAATTAAAATAATAATAAGCTTGTACAATAGAAAATATAATAGTTTATTTAATTGTATTCCTTAATAGTTAAGTTTAATGAATTTTAAAGACATCTTTTCAAAAAATTAGAGAAATTATTATTTTTGCGGTCTTTATACTTTGTAGCGGTGAATTTCAAAAGAATATATTTAAAAAAAATTTTATCATAATGAATGTCCTTTAATGTTTAATATTTAAAAACCTTTTTTATAATGCTAATAATTGAGTTTTTAAGTTGAAATTTTACAGAAAGAAATAATTATGAAATTTTATAATAAGAATAGGGTTTTGTTTTGCAAGTACATGCCTTTTATTTGCGGTTATTACACATACATATTTTTTTTTCGTATACATATGTGGGAACTAATGAACCGTGGGAGAAAATTAACAAACAAAAAGATTTGTCTCAACTTATACAATTCATTTATAAGAAAATTCGATACAAATATTTTTTATGACTAATTCAATTATCTGCTTTCACACGGATTTTCGGTATAACACGAATTTTTTGAATAATTATGAGTTTTAGTTTAGTAAATTTTTACACGTTCAAAAAAATTAATTAACTTCAAAGGAAATAATTTCTTTTTGAATTAAAAAAAAATTGTGGTTTAAACATATTCAAAATATTCAATTATTTTAAATCATCTCTTTTGGACGAGTAAAACAGGAGCATGAGAAAACAATTTCTTTATTAATTTGTGAAAAATATAATGGTGTTTTCTTGTATATAATTCAAAGGCCTATTATCAAATTCAAAGAATCTTATATCATCCTAGTGCCATATATATCCTCCATATTCTAACCGAGAATTACAAAATTAAAACCACTAAATTTACGATGATTACACGTGTAAAAAATTATTTTTAAAATTTTAACACTTGCGTATCTGGATTCTCCGCAAAAATTGTTGGCAAATATAAAAATATTTTGTTAAATACTCAAAAAGCTCAAACTTCAGAATGAATGCTATTCCTATTACAATATTGTCGAAATTCTACAATAAAATGCTTTCAATGTAATTTTGTAATACACCGACAATACCTGTACTCTAAAATGTGATTCACATATAGGTAATTAATTATTATATTGAATTTATAGTATTCAGTTATAATGTAAACAAATTTCGACTATAACAATTGAAAACCCTGAAAAATATTCCAATATTTTATTTTTTATAATACTTTTTCTATTTTTTACAACAACACATTTAAAAAATTTATTTAAGCAATTATTTATTCTTTCCCCTATACCCGAAAATTTAATTAATAATCTTGAACCTATTGATGCAAAAAATTGCATGGTTGGGAGGGAGGGTTCAGATATACTCGTTTTTTAACTACAGAATGTTAAAAAA